ATCTATCTATCTATCATCTATCTATCTATCTATCTATCTATCTATCTGTTTGTAGCACCACAAGGAAATTGCCAAACTACGTTCGGTAGCATAATCAAAATGGCAAAGAGCAAGCTATACCGCACCACAAACAAATCAATGCTGGATAACAATCTCAGTTGGATATCAATTGTAGTAGTGGAGATTATATAACTCAATTCAAAGGAGTTAATGGAGAAAAAACTTAGTGTGTTAAAGCAGTGGTCCCCAACCTTTTTTGTACCAGGGACCAGTTTCACGCAGAAACTTTTCAAGGACCGGGGGGAGGGGGTCCGAGTTTGGTGGTTTGCTTGCAGACGTTTCATTACCTGACTAGGTAACATCTGATGTTGTTACCTAGTCGGGTAATAAAACGTCTGCCAGCAAACCACCAAGTTCAGGGAGCGCCAATGCCTCCTCATTGCAACCCTGAGCGACAGATATTCTCTTCTATTGGGACATTTAAAACGGAGGGTTTCAGCTGCAGATTCAGGAACTGCGCCGGGCTGAGGAGCGCCTTCAAAACTGAGCGCTGGGCGGCGGCGGCCCACGGCTGTCTCCGCGGCTCAGGACAAATCCCTGCAGGACGGCTGAGAAGCCCCGCCTCTCGGCCCTGCCTCCCTCAGCCTCATCCCTCAGGTGTCTGCCTCGTTTCTCTCTCTGTCGCTCTCTCGCTCCTCCACCAGCCCAGGAAGAAACTGCTTCAAAGAAGCCGGCGGGGTGGCTTTTCCTGTCGCCGCAGCTCCTCCGAAGCGCCCGTTCACCCCCACCCCGCCGCCCGCGGTTCAATCCAGTGCTCCGTTCTGCCTGCCTGCCTGCCTTCGTTTCTGGTTGTTTCGGAGTAGCTTCGGCTGAATAAAAGAGGCGAATAGTTATTATTCTCAGCCGAAGCTGCTCCGAAACAACCAGAAACGAAGGCAGGCAGGCAGGCAGAATGGAGCACTGGATTGAACCTGGATTGATTGGCGGCGGGGTGGGGGTGAACGGGCGCTTCGGGGGAGCTGCGCTGACAGGAAAAGCCACCCTGCCAGCTTCTTTGAAGCATTTTCTTCCTGGGCTGGTGGAGGAGCGAGAGAGCGACTGAGAGAGGAACGAGGCGGGAGGAAACCGAAGCCACTGAGCCAGAGAGTAGGACAGGCTTTGGTTGCTTCCTCCCTCCCCTTCTTTCATTTGTGTCCTTGATCCCTGATCCCAGCAGCATTCACCGAAGGCGAAGAAAGCCGCCATTTTTATTTTATTTTTATTTTCTTTGCGGCCCGGTACAAAGTGATCCACGGACCGGTACCGGTCCGCGGCCCGGTGGTTGGGGACCCCTGTGTTAAAGCATATGGAAAGCAGTTGAAGAGGCCTTCATCCTGCAATAAACTGATTGTGATTAGTGGTTGAATTGGGACTAGAACCACCTCACTCCTTTTCTGCTCCCAATTCACCACTCACTCCAGTACACCTTAAAGCCTGAAAGGGAGTGTTTTATGCGTACTACTCTAGACTCCTGACTCTTACTCTTCAGACTACTCAGTTTAGACAAGGAGCTTGACTTAGGATAGGTAACAGTTCTTTGGGATCTGATTGGAGCAGAAAATGAGTCTTAGAAATGTTTTAATTAAGCACTATATGAATTCATATGCTAGATTGTGATGTAATCAGCTACTTGGAGGCTCCAGCTTTTGTGCAAACCGAATTCATAAACAGCTTGTATACTTGTATACTTGTATGGTTATAGGTGAAAATTAGTGGAGTCAGTGAACCACCGTTTAGAGGTTATTGTGTTGCAATAACACAGCCAAAAAATGCTGAAGCCAAAAGTGCAATGGAAATTCCCTATTGGAAAATGAGTCTTAAGTCAAAATGTTTCTCTGACTCTTAGCTCTAAAGAACAGCATCTTCAGAAAGTGAAGAAATTCTTTCTTATATATGCCCAGAAGACATTTATTTCTTTATACGCCCCAAGACCTCCAACTCTTAGGGAGTTGTCCCATGATTTGCTGAATCAATTAGATTGGGTGAAACCGCATGCAGTAAATCCGTCGATTCCATGTTATTGGATTCCTAAAATGTGTTCCTGATTCAGGTCAGCAACCCTAAGTTTGCCGTAGAGTTTACAGTGCAGCCAGGCAAAGAGTTCTACGCATAAAGAAATCTAAACTGCCACCAAACTATCGCGCGGGTCTTTATACAAAATCTAAATTAAACGCGGGTCTCTGCGACATACGAAACGCGGGTCTTTGAGACCCTCCGCGAGGATTGCCTCTTCCGCACAGGGCGCCTTAGCCACGACTTTCCCCAGTCCCTTTTCGATGGATAAGAAGAGGCCGTTCAATTGGTTTCCTTACCTCTTATATTCCAAGTAGTCGTCTATCGCCGCGGCAGCCCCGGACTGAAATGTCAGCCGCTCCATTAGTTTGGGAACAGCCTACGGGCTATCCGCAGCAGAAATGCCCTTTCGCAGATCCGGATAAGTCTTTCCAAGAACTCGAGACACGGAGCGATAGCCTCGCGGGAAGAGGAGGCGGCTCTCTGTCAGGAGCGGTTGGAGCCGCGGTGTCGCTCGGGAGGACTCGCCGCTGCTTTGGCGGCAGCGGTTTCAGAACACTTTCAGCGCCTACCTTGGTTTTGAATAGATTTCGTTGAAACTGCCGCTCTTCGGTTGCTACGTGAACTGCTTCAGCGACAAAATTACAGTTTGAACGATTTTGCGATGAGGGCAGCTAGTAAAGAAACACTAGCTAGGCCGCCTTCCCTCCAGAAATTGAGTTTGCACAGTTGCAGAGCAACAAACTTTGCCTGTCTAGCCAGGGTAGTTAATACTTCAGTGGGTCATATAAACTAAAGACCGGAATGGCGATTCACTAGTAACTACAGTATCTATCTATCTATCTATCTATCTATCTATCTATCTATCTATCTAT